AACTGTTCGTTGGTTTTGCCAGGGAAATGTTTGGCAATAGCCGCATTGATGTACCCTTGCCAGCATACACCAATTCAAGCCTCTTCAGCTCTTCAATATCCTCAGCACTCCATAACGCAGTGGCTCCACCTTTTACCCTCTTGCTGTGTACCTCCCCTATCTGTTTCATATTTCGCTCAGTTGGGTGGATGTGCCGTTTGTGCTGGCTTAGGCTGCTTTTGGTTGCAAAAGAAGCTTCACAACTTCCACACCTGTGGGCCAGTTGAGGCACTTCTTCTCGCACTGTCACCCCCCAGCACTTGGGCACATGGCAACTAATGGAGTGGCTATTCTCACTGGTTCAACCACACTTGCGACATCTGTATATCAACTGTATATCATAGTCTTGTGCTGGGTAGCATAGTGCCATGCCACCTGACTGATTTTTCCCAGCTGCATGCCACAAACATTGCAAACTATATCCTGGTCAGGGATTTGCACAACAATGCCACCCTGCTCAGTGACCACACTCTGTGGCTCCATGGCAGGTGCGTCCTCAGTCATGGCAGGACCGAGCGATGTGGAGCTACTTGGCTCGGCCACTGTTTCTGCCTGAACTGATTCCATTCCAGAGCTGTTGAGACTGCCAATGTCAGGTATCTCATCAAGTTTTACTTCGCCACTCTTTACCCCAAAATTAGAGTTGATGAAAGTCATTGTCTCAATCAGCAGGAGTGCATCCTCCTCCAGACTGACCAGTACTGACCCTACATCAGTACCTCTGGGCAGGGGGAGGTTTTAGTGGGAGAGGTTTGCGTTTCGATGCTTACCAGGTTCAACCTCCACCTAGGGTGTGGAGGCAAGCTCCAAGTGGGGCTAGCTGTTATAGATGGACATGGTCCACCCCCAGACCCACCCATGGGATCTTGCAGTAATGGTGGGAGCTCAGTCCCCAGCTCCACCATTGGGCCTCACCATAATGGTGCAAACCCAACCCTTAAGCCGCACCATGGTACCATGTTATCCGGGCGACGTACCCTCTGGCATGGGAACCCGTAGTAAACATATTCACCCCCAAACTCTCACCATTTACCCGTGCTTCTTTGAATTTCTTCGCTTTGACTTTCAGAGTAATGGGCAGAAATCACATCATGTCAACACCCACTGAGAGCCTTCACGATACTTTGTTTTAATTAAACAGTTGGATTCCCCTGGCCCGCACCAATTCTTAGTTGATAATTTGGTGCCGGCCGAGGCACTGCACCAGGGGGAGGTCCCCCACCCACATGAACGGATGGACGGAGGGTCCCCACACAGACCGTAGCCAAGGAGATCCACGAGAAGGGCCCAAAGCACGTCCAGAGTGGTAGCTTCAGCCCAGCACTCGCACAACCCACCTTCCAGCAAGTCTCATAGAGGCGCAGCCTACCAAACAGATCACCCGCCTCCCCTCCCTTCCAGAGAAGGTGGGGAAGGTGGAACGGGAGAGGCGACGGGGGTTTCAACCGAGAGAGGGAAACATATGCCGCATGCATAGCTTGCCAGCAGGGAGGCAAAATAACTGCACTAAACAGAACAGCTGCACCCCCAGCCTCAATGCAGGCCCAGTCCCACTTCACACCATGGCCTGACTGACCCAGCCCTTAGAGCCAGTCCTTATCCCGAAGTTGCGGATCTGACTTGCCGACTTCCCTTACCTACATTGTTCCAATATGCCAGAGACTGTTCACCTTGGAGACATGCTGTGGATATGGGTATGGCTGGCGCAAGTATTTAGCATGAGGGAGTTTCATTCATTTTCAGACTTAACCAGACAACTCACTCCACTAACGAAGAATGGCCATGTACCACCTCCCACAGAATTGAGAATGAGCTATCAATCTGTCAATCCTTTCTGTGTCTAGGCCAGGTGAGGTTTCCCGTGTTGAGTCAAATTAAGCTGCAGGCTCCACTCCAGGTGGTGCCCTTCTGGCAAGTTTCAGCTTTGCAACCATACTCTCCCTGAAACCCAAAGACTCATGGTTTCCCGCAACACTGCCCAGCGGGTCTTTGGTGTAACGCTGCCGCATCGTGGGTCAGCATAGTTTATGGTCAGAACTACAATGGTATCTAATTGTCTTTGAACCTCCAACTTTCGTTGTTGATTAATGAAAACATTCTTGGCAAATACTTTTGCTTTTGTCCATCTTGCGCCTGTCCAAATGCCACTGTCCATCCCTTTTAATCATGGCCCTCGTTTCGAGAAATGCATGAAATTAGAACTGGCATCCTATTCCATTATTCAGGCATTTGTCGGCCTGCTTTGAGCACTCTAATTTATTCAAAGAAGACACTCCTTCTTCTGCATCACTCTCAGATAGGTTTGGGTGGGCTTTGTCATTGTTGAAAACCCCCTGGATGCTGGCTCGCAAAGTCGGGCAGAACACACACATCCATAGAGGCCATATCCAGCACCAGATGGTGGCCTAACCCCTGGTGGGCTCAGTATGCCATTCGATCAGAGGGACAGAGAGCACCGAGCTCTCCCTCATAGAGAACCAAGCCCCCAACTCAGGGGATGTGAGACTTGGCCCTATTCAAAATCTTTTGGGAAGAAAGAAAGCATGGAGCTCTCCCTCATAAACAATCATGGAGCTCTTCCCTACATCATATAGAACCAAGCCACACCGTGGGGGAGTGAAACTTGGCCTCTTAGCTCACCATCTTTCATGTAGAAAAGAGCATGAAGCTCTTATTATGGAAGAACCAAGCCCCACTGGAGGAGACATTTGGATGGCACGCCCACCATAGTTCGAATAATTTTGAATTTGACCAAAAACGGTGTACCTTGGCCAGCCCCGTGGGTTGAAAGTAGGCCACAGAAGTGCCACTATGCTGTATTTTTAGACTTAGTCTTTCACAGAAGGCGTTTTCACTGGGAGACCAGAAAAAACTTTTCAAGCCATTTTATTTAACACCATTTGGGTCTGAAACAGCCACGTAGGTGAATTTTGGGGACTAACTTTTTCAAGCCCACTTTTACAGACATTTTGCCTTGAAACAGACACCTGGGTGAATTTTTAAGGACTTTGTAAATCCACATGTCTCTCCCCATCTAAGGGGGTTTTCCTAAGTGCTGTGGCCCACAGAGTGCCATCTTGTCAGCCTGGCACAGGGGGTCATGCACACTGGAGGTGTCACCTAGGAAAATTATTGGGACTTTTCACATCTTTTCTCATTCAGGGGGGCTTTCCTAAGCCCTGTGGCCAATCAGAGTGCCATTTTTGGAGCCTCAGATCTTGGCCGTAATTTCATTTTAAGGTCCCAAACTCTCTGCTAGATCAGCTCTTGACCTTTCCAGCAAGCACAGACACATCTTTCTAGCTACTTCTGTTCCAGAAACATAAACAGGGGAAGGTGACACCTAGGGGACTTTGAAAGCTTACTGGGGCCCTCAGGAAAATAGCATCACCACCAAACTTCACAGGCCTAAACCGGAAGATCCAGAACTTTATCCAGCAGAAAACCCAGAGTCAGTACTCGCCACCGGTCCCGAGATATGACCACCTTCTGGCCTAATTTCCATGCTGAATAGCTCAGCCGATTAGGGTGAGGGTTGGAATTAGGTTTTGTGTTGATGTTAAGGTAAGGATTAGGATTAGTTTTTGGGTTTAGGTTAAGATTAGGGTTGGGAACAGGGCCAGGGTGGGGGTTATGATTAGATTTTGTGTTAAGGTTAAGGTTAGGGTAAAGAATGTAAAGAAATCTGAGTCTGTAAGTTTCTCTACAATCTCCATGATTTAATTATGTAGATATGTTGAAAGAGAAATCCTAAAGCATGTTCAGTTCATTGGTTGATATCAATCACAGCTACATACTTTGAGGTTTGAGCAACACTATTCCTCAAACAGAACAGAACAGATCTAAAGTTTCATGTTCTCCTTGACACTTGGCGCATATCAAACAGCCAAAACAATAGCAGTCTGTGTAAAGTATCTTTCACTCTGTTGCTTCTTTCACTTTCATTTGTGAAACAGAGGAGAAGTATGTGCTTTGATTGATTTATGCACTAAGAGAGAATGCACAGTAACACTGGTGCAGATATGCGAGTGACAGAACTTTGGTTAACTCTGCTAGAAGAGCACATGACAAGCAGCACATCAAAACAATCTGCTTTTCTTTTCTTTCATGTGTGTGTGTGTGTGTGTGTGTAAAGTTCAGCTTTCTAGACAGCATTGCATAATATGGAGCTAAACTTTTAAATGCTCCTTTCAAGTATGTAATAAGCATAAAAGTATATAATCACAATTTCAATAATTTCAAGTATATAATCACTTGGTGTTTGTTGATTTTATTCTTCAGAACTACACCCTCACTTCTGGTTCTTAATACACAACTCAACATGTTTGGGGCCGTGTTTTGGAAGTAATTCTCATTGTATATTGTTACACTCTAAACACCTTTGTCTAGAACTGCATTTAAAATGTCCACACATTTCAAATGTCTGAGATGTAAACAGAGAGATTCAGAGTGGTTTGGTGTGAAATGGTTTAGATTTCCTCACAGTGGTGGTGATAGGAACCAGGGGTCACCATGACTACAACACAAATATATATTTATATAAATATAAATATTTTATTTATTATCCAAAACCACCAGTGAACCTACACATGTCTTCTGAGTTTTATATGGAATGTTGATGATGGGAAAATCATGGAAAAGCTGAAAAAAAAACTTTAGGCTATCATTTTTATATAATAGCTTTCACTGAGGCATTAAACCCTTTGGAAGTCTGGTTCCCATCACCACTGAAAAGCAAGAATTTTAAGAAAGAAAGTTTTTTTCTGTAATTGCACAGAAAGTAAGTTTCTCTATAATGCACCCTCTCACATCTTGAACAAAACCTTGATGGAATTCTCCTCTAAAAGGGTTTTGATATGAGCTGAGAAAATTCTGGAATTGTACACAATTGTGCAAGCTTATGTAAGCCAGCTATATAGAGCAGATTTATTTGATACAGCTTTAAAAGACAAAGACTGAAGTATTTGCAATGTGAATTTATTGGAACAACTTGAATACATGTGTTTGAAATTATCAGCAGAGTTACTCCATCGCTGCTCACAGCTGACTAAATGAAGTCGCAGGAACATAATGGTTATGATATAACTCAGCAGAAGAGATTATTTGTGTGTTTATATAGACAGAAGCCATCGCAAATCATTATAGATTATCAGGAAGATCCAAGAGCAGCAGGCCCCCTTTAAAAGAAACACCAGTTAGACAACATCCAAGACATGAAAACCTTTGGCTTAAATGCAGCTGTTAAGCAAAACATCTTCACTTACTATATCTATACACCTTAATCAGCACAAGCACAGAAAAATAAATAAATGTTTTTATGCACTTACTGTTCACTTTCATTCATTTCTTGTGCAAGTCAGTACAGAAGTCCGGAGAGGCCATGAGGTCATTGGGATTTTCTGGATTTTTAGGTAACGAGTTAACTTTCTTGTGACCTCTCAAGACCACAAAGCTGTTTCTTGAGACGAGTTAATTATTTTGTGATCTAAAGATAACAACATTACTATCTTGAGACAACAAGTTAATTACGTTCTGATCTCAAGATCACAAAATTGTTACAAAATTATTATAAAATTATTATCTCCAGACAACAAGTTAATTATCGTGTGATCTCAAGGTAACAAAGCCATTTTCTTGAGATGAGTTAATTGTCTCGTTATCTCAAGATAACAATCCTGAAAATTGTAGCAAGGCTCATGGCTTCTCCGGACTTCCATAAATCAGACACTACTTTTTATTCATTTTTCACAATGCATTTTTTTCAATATTTAATATGTCCACGCTTTAGCTTTATCACAGCTTCCATTTTTCAGATACTGGCTAAAATTCATTTATCATGCAAAACCAACCTCTTAGACTGAACTTTGAAGGGAAAATTGTCCCTGCAGATTCAGCGTTTAAGTCTTAAAAGAAATCTTCAGGGATATTTTAGGTTAAATGAAGGTGTTCAGGTTTTAATATGACAGTGACATCATACTCTCACATGTTTTACTCCAATAAACAAACTGAAAGATGATACAGTGGTTGACTTACTTGTACAAGGACAGTCCATCACTGGTCAGTCCATCACTGCTCAGGTAGGGTCCTTTTCCGCTTTAGGACAAACAGAAAAGGAACAGTTGTAAATAAGCTGGTAAAGGGACCTAAAGAAGTGCACGGCATGCTTTTATAACTTTCAGTGTCTTCACCAAATAAAACAAAGACTACTATTGTAAACTCATGTGCCGCTAAGTTTATAGATCTGTGAGAAGGAGAATGCCTCCTTTTGTTCTAGACCCTCATTAACTAGGAACAATTTAGAGGAGCACTTAAAACTAGAAAGAAGCATCTTATGTTCCAATCAGATTGTAAGTTAATGATCAATGATTGATATCATTATGTTTGCATTTGTTATTATTTTGCCTTTGTGGAAAGCACTGCACCGACCGGAGTGATCAGTCCGCCCCAGACGCAGGTGCCTTTGGGACCACAGGACCATCCAGCACCATGATTACAGCAGCTGGATCCATCACGACAGCATTCTCCCTATAATAAAACACGAGAATCAAACAACATACATGAAAAGCTGCAAGGCTGGGATGCCCAACACTTCTTCGGGAGATACGGCAGCAGTGGAACACATGTTTAGAAGAAATTGAAAAGTATTCTCAGGACTTTTGTCTCCCAATTGGAAACCTTAAAGTTTTGCAAAAGTCGTTTTTAAAGTTTAAAGAAATTCAACATAATAAGATAAAGGATCACATGATTAAAGTTTTTTTTTCCTAGAACTGAACTTCCATGCCAAGACCGCAGTCAAAGGCATACAAACATAGGCAATACAGTCAGTTTTTTTACCAAGCTGTCTAATAATGAGTTTATGATTAATGTGTCACGTGTAGCATATTAGCATGCCACGTTAATCTTTGAGATGAAATGAAGGCCTGATGCTTCTGGTGTATGGATAGGAGTTCTATGGCCGATTAGATTATATTAGAGCAGATGCTAACTAAATAAACACGTTAACACATATACATTGCTGCTGTCGGACCAAAACCTCATACCTCCATTTTTGTGGTTTTTCACTTTTTTGACATAATTTGAAGATGAATGGACCGAAAGAAACAGCCCAGAATTACTTGGAAAAATGTCTGGTTCCATTGACTTACATTAAAAGTAAAATAGGTTTTCTCCTGTAAAGTTACCATTTTTGAGATACAAGGTTTTGTTCCAACTGCAGCGATATGTTGTCTTTTGTTGTTGCTGTTATTCCAAAATAGGTCAGATTTATGGAAATGTATGTATTCAGTTACTGTTGAACAAATACTGAGAAGCTCCACACCTGCATGAACGTTATTATCATCCTTAGCTGCTGCCAGCATGATAATATGCTGCCTTCATTAGATGAAGGCGACACTGATATGGGCATGCACACTGATATAATATGCAAAAAAACAAATTCTGATCAGTCTGTATCACATCGTTACATAACAGATATGCGTGTGATAAGGGATCATATATGAAAGTCTACCTATGGGCAGATATTGAAAATTCAGAGATTTAAAAATAAATAATAATAAAAAAAAAATAAATCTGTGTCACATAAAAAAACTAGTTCACTTATCATGTATAATGAGTACATGGCCATTGTTACCTTAGGGAATGGGCAGCATGAAAAGGTGCCTGTAGAGCCTCTGCAGCATGTTTGGCCACTAAGACAGCTCCTGTGAGCATCACAGGTTACCACAGACACAGCGGGTTTAAGAGAATGAGCTGGAATGGATAGACGAGCATTAGCCGTCTGTTCACTCTGTAAAGACAGCTGTAAAGACAAAAATAGTTAAGCAAAAATTCAGATTTACACAGTTTTGCTAATATGCTAAAATGTAATCAACCAGGTAAGACACCTTAGTTTTGCCCTGGAGCTATGAGGCTAATATGGTTAACTAGCAATGGAAGGTTATACTCCACCAATTATCATCAAGCAAACCAGGGGCGTGGCCACGGGCCTACCCAGACTGATCTCAGGCCTACTCAAGCAAATGGGGAAAGAATGATTTATTAAGTTGTATTTTTAATCAACCAATCTCAAGCTCTGTCTTATTTTTTCAGCTCTCTAATCAATGTTTAGCAACCGTTGCTATCCAGCATTGCCTGAAGCATACAGCAGGCCAGTGTTTGAAGCTCCAGTTGTGGTCAAAAGATGTGTTGGGTGTGTTTAGGTGAATCCAGTATTCCAGTGAATTTCTATTGCTCTGTATTGGTGTAGAGACGGAAACACTGTTGACTGCATTGCTGCCAGCTATAGCTGGATATTATGACTTTGCGGGACATTAGTGCATTTGGAACTTGTATCCAAGTCAGCCTAACCACTTTTTTACAGACCTACCCAAAAATCTACTTCAGCCTAATGCATACTGCACACCTACATCATCACATACTTGCTTTAAACCATGTTGAGATGTTGAGCACTCCAATAGACTTGCTTATGTTTCTAACACTGTTCTTATCTTCACCTTTCAAGCCAAAGACAGTAGTAGCAGCCAAAAAACATGTCTTGTCTGACTGTCTATATTTTTGTTGTGTGGTAACAGGAGGAAAAATACTTTTTTACTTCTTTTTTCTCACAAATAATTCCTTTAGGATTTTCATCAGGTCATAGCAATAAACAAAGTAACATGATCAGAAAAGATCTAAAAAGTAGCTTAAAGTCACTCACCTTTGCTATACAACAACGCCATCCACATTGCGTCAGGCAGCACTTTTTACCAGGTATACACGTAGAACCATCAGGACAGTAAACACCGGTGTCAATTAATTCTGTGGATAAGCTGTCAGAGTCTGGCTTTTTGTGTTCCCCATAAGGTACCTGCAATGTGTTGAGAGATGGAAGAAAATCTAACGCCACCTTCGACTCAGAAATTCATGTAACAAAGTCGTTGGATCATAAGAAAACCTTCATACCACAGCATAAAATTAAAATATTTATGATCTACTAAAGAGCTCTGCACGTATCAACACAGCAAAAACCAAAATCGCAATAAAGACTAATAAACAACATACTGTACAGCCCTGAGTGCAACTCATTCTGAAGGTATTCAATGTATCAACAAGAGTGAGTCAATAGTAGAGATGCATGATGACATGGGAATCGTAGGCATATTGGCTCAAAATTGCTTTAAAAAAAGCATCAACCAAAAGTTTAGATTTCACCGATATTTCAAACTCAGGTTGTTTGATGTTGAAATGTTACTAGTGGTAATACAAATGTTAATAATGTCATAATGATGTAATAACGTAATGCTTGTGTGTGTGTTTTTCATCTGCTGTTGATATGCGTTCTTGTATTCAACTATTGTTGAAATTCTGAAGTGAAATGTGTTTTTTATTTTTATTTCTGTTTTTATGTATCGTCATCAGCACTTACGTATATGGAAAACATCAGAAATTGGCAATGACCAACAGTTTTTACATCAGTGTACCTAGTAAATTGTGCATTTGGCCTGAGATGTACTCACATGCGTGAAACAGCAAGACCAACCCTGATCCGAAAAGCAGCAATGTGAACCAAAATTACAGACTCTGCCATTGGGACATAAGTAGGGGGGCATGTGAGACACCACGTCTCCTCCTGTGGCAGGGCGAGGCTGCAGTGGCCTCATGGCAGCAAACTGGTGGCAGAGAGAGAGAGAATGTGTATTATTCACATGTATGGGTGCCCAAATTACATGTTCCAAGTGAAAATAACAAATTAACCCATCCTGTACAGAGAACACACTTCTGCATGTTTTCTTGTAAATACATTTTACCTTTATTACATTATAAATACCTATTCAGCTCCTACATATGACAATAGAAGTACACAAGGGGCAATAGGGGAGGGAGGTACTGCATATACAAGACAGATACTGCACCTACAAATATGCCAGAAAACAAGCAACAATAAATAAAGACACGGCACCCCACAGTGCAGCTGACTGGCAGTAGGGATTGAGGTAGATGGCAGTGATAACACTGAACTGTGAATATGCAGCATAGCAAGATGTAGCACTATGTGTAGAATAACACAATGTTAGAGATCCCATGTGGGGTAATACAGTATACAGTAAACTATTGAATAATACAGTGTGATACGGCAATACATACAATTACTGAAATGAAAATGAAAAATAAAACGTTAACATGATTTTATATATAAGTAACTTGGAGGTCATGATTTCCAGAATCTACGGATCAACTTTGAGCACAACTAGCAAGCAAGCTTGGCTCACTGCCAAATGAATGGACGAGGTTGGGCAAAATACATTGAACAATTAGTAATTTTGCTATCTTCAGAATACATTCAGAATACATTTAGAACACCAAGTATGACAAATATATATGACATTTAAGTCATCAGAAAAATAAAGCTTGCACTTTAGGGATTTTGCAGTACATTCAAACACTTCACTTAAAAACATTTAAAATGTAATTGTGTTTCAAAACTTTCAAAGAAACTTCTCCTTTTTTCCACTGTGAGATGCACACAACAGTTAGTGGGAGCATGGTTGCCAGAAAGCTTTATAAGTAATGTTACAGTTGGCAAAATCAAAAGGTCTTCAAGAACGAAGATTCAAAAATATTAGCTACCGTTAATGTATAGGAATATGTCAACATTACACAACAAAGTGAATAATACTATTCATTCTCATCCATTGTCATTTTATTTTGAAAACCTCAAATTTCTAAGCAGGCTGCAGACTTGGCAACCTTGGATTTGTGGAGACACTCCTACTAGCAGTGACAATGGGCCACTATTGGATAGATTTAATGTAATTTAACAATTAACATGTAATGTAACTATTACATTTTTACTATTAAGAATTACATTTGTGATATCAAAAAATGAATTTTCACTAGTGAAAAAAATAAATTTTGATGGCAAGAATTTAATTCTTACAAGTAAAACTTCAATTCTTGATATCAAGAAATTAAATTTCTACATGTGAATATTAAATTTAATTCTCACTAGTAAAATGTTCCCCCCATATAATGAATGGGGAAACTCATAAATTATCACTAGTAAAAATAGCCATTTCAGATCCCAAAAACATTGTAAGATGTACTCACCGTTTTGAAGCAGCAAGTCCATGGTACACCAATCTGGCAACACTCCATACCAGCAGAGCAGAATGTACCATCGGGACAGTACTGACCAGGAGAAAAGACTGCCTTACTGGTCTGGAGCTCAGCTCCATCTGCCGGAGCCACCCTTTCGCACGAGTCATTCTGTGCATTACAGCGGAACCCTTCTGGACAGCAATGGGTCTCTCCTGGACAACAGACAGCCTGGACAACAGAGAGATGATTCAAAGTTGGTTGTGATGTGAGTTGATTAATCTAAGTACTTCTGTTAAACGACAGACTCATTTCTTTTCTTTATTTCATATAAACTACGGAATATTCATTGTCAAATCATTACTCGCTATTCATATTAGTCTTGTTGTAGCTGGTATCGACCAGAGGAGGACGGGTTCCCCTTCTGATTCTTGGTTCCTCTCAAGGTTTCTTCCTCTTGCTTTTAGGGAGTTTTTATCTTTGCCACTGTTGCAGTTGACGGCACTCATTTGAGGCCTGGATTTCTGCAAAGCTGCGTTGTGACAAATGGAATTAGATTGGAACTGAATTTTGTGTGTTCTCTCATTGTCAGTACTTTCCTGGAACAACAGTATACAGCTGCGCTAACTAGAAATCTTCCAGAAAAGTAGCGCTGCATTTTGTGTTGTGGCGATAAACCATATCTTCTTGCAAATATAAATACACATTACTTTTTTAAACGACTTTAAAATACATTAATAAATGTAGTGAAGATAAAACACAAGCTAAACCTGTTAATGCAAATGACAACAGTGATATGTGAATCTAAAGCACAATTGCATTGAGAAATAATTAAGAAATGAATGTTGGGTGATTACTTACATTGGGATACGCACAACAGCTGTACCCACTTTCTTGTTTACAGCAGGTTTCACCATCTGTGCAGTTTCCTCCGTCGGGACAGGTTACGTCTCCCGAAACCAGCACTGCCATGAGCAACACCAACACAGCAGCCATCTACAGCAAAACAGGAGAGCCAAAAGTACCTCTGTGGTCAGAAACTAAGCAGCGATGGAGGGGTAGAGGACGAACAACACACACTGTGCATCAACAGACTTTTTGACCCCGCACGTGGCCAGGACCCAGGACTAAGAATAGCTTAGCTAGTTTGCACTGAAGTCCCTGTAGTTACCGAATAATAAACCTTAGTATGTATGAAGCCTGAGATCTTAAGGGCTTAAACTTCACATCAAAAAGAGATGAAAGAAGAAAAACACAGAAAAAATAAACATAAAAAGTAAGTATTACTTTCACAGGAGTAAATTTAGGGGTTAGGGTTTGGAAAAGACACCTCCCAATAGAAAGGACCCTATAAATGATGATTTTGTGTATATTCACCTTATCTTTATTAATGATTTGCGAGATCTCCCCTCTCTGGGTTGAAATAGATCAACATAATCCATATAATTCCAAGATCTGAATACTAGCCATTAATTATTTATTTATGTATTTATTTAAATTTTTGCTGTGGAATTGTAGCTTGAACTATTTCAGTAGAATTTTCCATGAATTCTAGAGTATGTATAGTCTTAGTACGTATACAGCTCTAAGTCATCAATGCCACTTTAAAAATTAGTTATACTCAAATGAATCGTCTTGCTAGTGATATCAAAGTTGGAGCCTTACCTCGCTCTACTCTTGCTGGGTCTGTACAGTCAGCAAATCTAAACTCGGAGCTTGTGTTCTTCAGCCCTTTTATGATGCTGCCACCGGAAGCGTCAGTTCTTATTTGGAAATATTTGGAGTTGAGTAATACTGTTCTTCCAGATGTACCAAAATGCCCCACGTGTTGTTGGATTTCCCAATAAAATAAACATATGATTTTACTGTAGGACCTTGGCACAGTCGGGTTTCACCCACCAGGTGAAGGACGTCACCTGGACAGAAGCAGAGGGCAGGAATTACAGCAGCTAACATTCTAATGTTACTGAATCTTACTGAATACTGTGACCTTTTTTGAGGGACAGTGTGAATTTAGTGATTTTCATAAGTTACAGTGAGAATAACAGACAAACTATTATTATTATTATTATTATTATTATTATTATTATTATTATTATTATTATTATTATAACAATGCACACACTACACTTGTGTGTAAAAGACGTATAACCCCACTTCCAAAAAAGTTGGGACGCTGTGCAATATTTACAAAAAAACACTGTAATGATGTGTAAATCATATAAACCTTTTATTTCACTTAAAGTAGTACAAAGACAACATATCAAATGTTGAAACAAAGGCATTGCATTGTTTGGTGAAAAATATATGTCCATTTTGAATTTGATGCCAAAAAAGTTGGGACACGGGCAACAAAAGACAGGTAAAGTTGTGTAATGCTAAAAAAGCACTTGGTGGTTAATTAGCCACAGGTCAGTAACATGATTGGGTATGAAAAGTCTTTCAAAAGTAAAGATGAGGAGGGGTTCACCACTCTGTGAAAGACTGTGTGGGCAAATAGTGCAACAATTCCATAATAACGTTTCTCAATGCAAAAATAGCAAAGAACTTGAGGATTGCATCATCTACAGTACATAACATCATTCAAAGATTCAGAGAATTCAGAGAAATCTCTATATGCAAGGGACAAGGCCAAAAACCAATACTGGCTGGCCATTAACCCCTTACATGGCCAGGGTCTATAAGTGGGCCCAAAGTTGTATTAGACACTTCTATACCCTCAGAATAGCTCAACTAGTTTGCATTGAAGTACCTGTAGTTACTGAATAAGTATGTAATTTAGTATGTAATAAGCCTGGGATTTTAAAGGGTTCAAAAGAGACACAATTTTGTAGTGGAAATCCACTGTGGTCCAAAGAATAAAAATTTGAAATTCTGTTTGGAAATCATTGGCACTGCATTCTCCGGGCTAAAGAGGATAGGGATGATCTGGATTATTATGTGTACAGTTTAAAAGCCAGCATCTGTGATGGTATAGAGGGCATTAGTGCACATGACATGGGTGACTTGCCAATCTGTGAAGGCACCATCAATGCTGAATGATGTATGCAGGTTTTGGAGCAAAATATGCTGCCATTAGCAAAACAATGCCAAACCACATTCAGCACATATTACAGCAGCATGGCTCTGTAGAAAAAGAATTTGAGTGCTAAAGTGGCCTAATGAAAATTTTCGGTACATTATGAAACAAAAAATACAACTAAGAAGACCCCAAACTGCTGAGCAGCTGAAATCCAATATCAATCAAGAACGGGAAAACATTTCACTTTATAAACTACAGCAGTTGGTCTCCCAAAGTTGGTCTCTTTGTTGCTGGCATCAAATTCAAAAAGGGCATATATTGTTCAAACAACAATAAAATTTCTCAGTTTCAACATATGATATGCCGAATTTGTACTATATTCCAATAAACATAAGGTGTAAATAATTTACTGTAATATGACAGAACGAGTCAGACACATGCGGATAAAAGATGTAAATGAGGCTTTATTAGCTTATTCATTTTTTAAAGATGTGATCAAAAAACAGGCAAAGGTCATATTCAAAAGCAGCAAAATACACAGGTAGAAAAACATGACGCAAATCTAATTGGGCAGACAAAATCCAAACAGGGAGTGGGCAAAAAGGCAAAGTCAAAAATTCAGAAGATAAGTCAGAACCAGAATGAAACAACCAAAATACGGGAAGAACACTCAGTGGCTCTACAAGAGAAGCAGTACTTCGCACTGAGCTAACCTAAAGCCCAGACTTATACACTACCTGAATTAAGCACTTAATGAGAAACAGGTCTGAAAAATCTGTATTCAAGTGAGGCAGATCTCGGATACTTGGGCTGGTCTGATGTCACAGACACATGTTCACCCAGAGGGTTCTGTGAAATGGAGTCCACCAGAGAGTCAGGGTTGGAGGGATGTGTGACATTTGCACATCATTCCATTCTGTTTTTATTTACATTTTGCACAGCATGCCAACTTTTTTGGAAATGGGGTTGCAAATTCAATACTTGAAGAGTCTCCAGATGTGTCCCTGAACACAGCCCATATTAATATTTGCACCCTGTTCCATCCTCCTACTGCTTACAAATACAGACTCTGACCCCTCCAACTGCTGGTACATACAGACACTGACCATGAACCTTTTCAGGTCATATTTCCTTTTTTTCTGGCATAAACATTCCTGATCAGACTGAGCAGGCCAGCAAAGGGTTTATGAGTTCATATTAACTGACAAAACTTAGTCAATCTGCTGTTAAAGATAATTATTATATGTGTATATGGCTGCTGTCAGAGCAAAATCTTGTTGTTTTTCCGTTTTTGATATAGTTTGAAAATGCCTGCCGGTCTTTATATTGTGTATATAATTACTAAAATCATTGTGTAATTTCATGATAAATGGATCAAAAGAAGTGACCCAAAGTTACTTGGAAAAAATGGGGTTCCATTGACTTACATTAAAAGTAAAGTAAGTTTTTCGCTTCTCCTGTAAAGATGTCACTGCAGAGATACAAGGTTTTGTTCCATCAACAGCGAAATGTAAATTCATACAATGACAGTTTTTCAATTTATGATGATTTGCATATATATATATATGTATATATATATATATATATATATATATATATATATATATATGATACATTTTCATAACTTCATTGTTAAATAAAAGGACAGGCTGTATCACGTCAATACAACTTAAAAAATAAATATGTACAATTGTTCCCTAACTAAAGGTACTGAGGACCCTTAAATGGGACCACCACAGTGACAGGGTTTGTACCATACAAACAGTAGTAAACTATTTACCACAATAAAAGAGTATTTTATAGTATTTTCATGGTGAAATCATTTAACCCTTGTGTGGTGTTCAGGTCTGTGGGACCCATTTTCTGTGTTTACCAAAAGAAAAAAAATGATGTGATTAATTATTATTTCAACCCCAGATTCTTGGTCTTTGCTCATTTTCTGTGAAGAACATATAAAATAACACATTTTCAGTGACATCACACTGTTCACCCCCCACACATTTACATTACACATTTGGTGTTGGGGTGAACCTGCGGGGAGTAAAAGTGTGGAGGTGCTGTGTCCTCCTGCGTGGCCTGCTATCTGTGTGTGTGTGTGGGTGTGTGTGTGTGTGTGTGTGTGTGAGGGTGGACAACATGGACAGGCTGCTGACTGGCTACAGCTGCTAAAGGAGAACCCTACGCTGGCCACTTGTGATATTTTAAACATCTGGTATTTTTACATAAATCGCTTTAGCTGTATTGATTTAAAACCAATAACGCGGTGGGTCGAACAGACCACTGAGTAAGAAAAACAAGACCATACAAGGGTTAAAATCTATGCATCTATATATCTATCTGTATATCAATAGATATATAAAAAGTCTTTCAAAGTCAATATCACTTTTACTTGTTTTAAAGTTCTAACTAGAGAAGTTATCTATATAACTATATAACTATATATATATATATATATATATATATATATATATACACACACACACACACACACACACACACACACATCTATATATCTATATATCTATATCTATACATATACAACATTGACAAATATTTGATCTATTGACTAGACTTAACATGTCAAGGTATAATATTGTCCAATGTACTCTTTTATTGAGTGAAGGTGTAGGTAGTCTTCATGTAAGTACCAGGTTACTCCCAAGACCCCGCGTGTGTCTACGTGTATACAATTTTAGGCCGTCAATTTTTTTTGGGATAAATCACAAAACGCAGCGCAGTGGCTGGAGCTCGGCCCCAGACCGGAGAGCACCAGCACTTATTACATTTGTGATTCTTCAAAGAGTTTGCCTCTTATTGATTTTGTGTCAAGGTTAGCCACTCGTTCGGCTGGAGCGCACCGCTTTTTAAAGCAACTGGAGCGACTTGAAACACGGCTCGTTCAAATGGAGAGCCTGCAACCTTGAGCCGAAGAAAGAGGGAACAGGAGAAAGACAGAAAAACACACATACGCAGACGGCAGAGTGGGTGCACTGAGGGGCTCGTCTCGTGTAAAGTCAAGAAGCACCTCGGCCCCAACAAAGAATTAAAGAGAGATAAATAAAGAAAGAATAAATATGGAGAAGCCACTCCGTGTCAACTGTAATCCTCCCTTTGGAGGCATCTGAGCCACTGGGGAAAGTTCCGGCTACAAGGGCTGCTTGTGTTGTCTGCGTCTGATTGAAGTGGTGAGATTACTGGGCTGTGTTAGCCCTGGAGGCTGGAGTTAGCATCGTGTTGTTGCTCTCTTGCTGCTTTCTCCAAGCCCTTTTTTATTTTTTTGGTGATGGTGGGCTTTCTCTTGACAGACAGAGTTGGTTTAGCACGAAAGCGCTGACTGCATGCTAATCTGATTGGTGTTTCTGTCAGGTGAATTTGTGGCAAACAGAGCAGCAGCAGTGGTGCAATTACATTGGCCCACCCACTTATGGCCTACCCACTCCCCCCTTCCAAAATTGACTGATAAAATGTATTTAAGGTCTTAAAATAACCAAAAGCACAAATGAAAATGACATTGCTAACAATGTGATGTATTCAAAATTCCTTTTTTGACATCAGCCAATCAAAATTCCATCTTAACGGATAATCTTAGCTGAGCATTTCCACTTCAGAATAGGACAAATGCTTGTTTAAACTCTTCCAAGACCAAAACCATTGCATATGGACTCCATGCACATGAAAATGATTTGTTCAAAGCACAAAAGTAATCAAGAGTACAATATAACACTACATCAATACAATAAAAACAACCAGCTGAGATCCAGAAGTCTGAGACTGTAGTAGTCAGGTCTGAGTCAA